GAGAGAGAGAGAGAGAGAGAGAGAGAGAGAGAGAGAGAGAGAGAGAGAGAGAGAGGGCTGGGGAGCTGATGTTTGCCGGGGAGCAGGCACCCGCAGGTATTGCATCATTTGAAGGCCAACACTTTTTAATCAGATCGATAAATCCCTTGCTCCTGTAGACTAGTTGGACACTGACACGTGGCAAGACTACTCACGTTGTACTCGAACGTGGCATTACTTGAAAATTCACACGTGGCATTTATACGGACAGGGGGCATGACTTCTCTGCGTGGATGTTCATACGTGGCATGCCTAGTACGCCGGCATTCAAGTGGCATGCATACGTGGCATGCACACGTGGTATTCACGTGTGATAGTTACGCCGACCTTCATATCCAAGGCATATCCACAAGCCACGCTCTCAGATGGCACCACGTGCCTCGTTAGCATCACGACAACAAGCATGATTCCTCATATTTGGTAAAGAACTCCGACGCATGACAAGTCGCAATGGTGCGTGACACGCGGCAATGATCCATGACATGTGGTCCCGCGTGTGGGAATGATGCGTGACATGTGGTATGTGTGACGCATCACAGCCACCGTTGCCACACAGCGCAAAGAGGCGGTGTGGTAACGCTGTGTGGCAATGATGAGTTACACTCTGCACAGCCACCGCTGCCGCACAGCGCACGGATGCGTGACATGAGGTAATGATGTGTGACGCTCAGTCCAGCCACCGTTGCCACACAACACGAGGAGGCAGGGTGGTAAAGGTGTGTGACACTTTGCACAACCACCGTTGCCACACAGCACAAGGAGGCTGTGTGGTACGGATGCGACTACTCCCCATCCGCCAAGCATTCGAACGCATCTGGACAAATGGGATGTCCACATGCAATCAAGATGTTGGCTGATGGCGAGTAGTGCGACGAGGCCCGAAGAAAGGGCCTCGCTCCACTATCCACCATCTCCGCGAGAACATAGGACGTGACACAGCCATAGATTTTGTCTTTCTGCATGTGGAGAGTAGTGGAGCGAGGCCCAAAATCTGGATGCAGTCAGAAACAGAATTGATGGATCTGCGGGGTACCATCTCGTGGAGCCTGCTTGGCGCAGCCGTGCTCCGCGTCCGCAGTGAGCCGTCTTCCCCGCGAATCCCCTACCTGTATGAATCGGCGGCAAGCTCTGCGATCCGAGTACGGTCCGTTTCTCGGCTGCGCCTACCATCTTCCCCCGAACATAACGCACCCTGAAAATGAACGTATGCAAGGCATGTTTCCGGCCCGATACAGTCAAGATGAGGGTGCGTTGTGTTCGGGGGAAGTCGGTGACCGCAAGATCCAGTCAAATGCGTCTACGTAGGAAAGAGTTGTGGCCCTTGCCACACGGCACAGGAAACGAAAACGAAAGGAGTGCATCTGCCGACGGAAGGTATACACTAGTAACTATTTATAGCCAGCCTGATGAGCGTGCGCTTTTTTTTTTTTTTTTTTTTGGAAAGTTCGAATATATATTGCAAAACAAATAGGACGAGGCCGGGAAAAAAAAAAAAAAAAGACAATTCGACCCGGAGTTATCCTGGCAGCCTCAGCCAGTTTAGCTTATGATCTATGCTCTGAACATTGAACAACTGAATACTCGACTTCATCTTCTTGTCCTTCGGGACATCCGTTAAAAGTGGAACGATACAGAGAAGATTAGCATGGCCCCTGCGCAAGGATGACTTCATCTTCTTCCTGCTGGAAACCGGTCCAGCGTCCCGCCCTATGCGATACACTTTCCAAGAGGATTAAAATTGTAGGAAACCTCTACTCTTGAATGCACAGATGCGCTGGTGTCTGGTCTCTGTATTTAAATTTCGACATACCTCTTGATCCTTTATCCCATCTCTGCCATTCCATCCAAACATGTGCTGCTACAAACGGTAGCAGTCACCACCCTTCTTGCTTTACCAGGAATCTCCCCTTTCGGGGAATAGAACAGGGCTAGTATTCGCCCAAGGCCTCCTTTCAACACAACCATTGGGCCACCTTTAATTTACTCCCCCCTTGGATCTTTGCAAAATTGCCTTTAACCCAAGTACCATGGAACCGCGAGAGATCTTTTTGTTTCCAATCTGCAAACATTGCCGGTCTAACAGCCGCCTTGATCTGGTTCTTTGACTGTTGGAAGTTTTTTTTTTTTTGTTTTTGAATTTTTTTTTTAATTCAAATGAAGATTGAGGCCGGGGTCCTCACAGTCTACCCGGAGTAACCGAACCGAACATGCTGAGAACCGGGCTCAGCGTCCCTCATGATGATGATGGTGATACTAGTAATGATGGACTTGTAGTGATTCTTAGAAAAGTGTAAGATAGTAATTCCGATGATGATGATAATGATGATGATGATGATGATGATGATGATGATAATGGTGATTAGTATATAAAAGAGACTATGCTATATCAATGATTCTAAGCACCTCCTGAAGCCCACAGCAGTTTTCCAAAAAACTCAAGTATCTAAGGGATTTCCAACAGATCCTAACAAAGCTCACTGAGACTGACTTATTCTCTGACAAACTCAACCAGGCCTCACACGCCCTAACTGCTAGGTTACAGAGCAGCGCGACTCACTCCAGCTCCGGCCAGCGTCGTCCTGTGTCAGCAACCCCCAGCTGTCCTTTAGGATCCCCCCACATAGCATCCCCAGATCTCTCTGCAAGGCCTCATGCCCTAACCTTCGGCAAGCTACAGGGCATCACCCCGGCTCCGGCCAGCGTCGTTCTGGCAATGGACAGCCACGAATCCTGAATATAACAGTCTAAATCCAGTGCAGCTTCGTACAACCCACCTACAAACCCTCAGAGACCTGAGAAATTCTTCAAACTACCAGGCATAACAGAAGAAATCCGATCCAAGAAGCTTCCAAAAGTCACCGCACAGAGAAACTTCCCCCCGCCCACTGTCCCATGCTGCCACCGTCGAGGAAAACCTCCTCGGCCCCAACCTGGAACAGACCCCCTCCTCCCCCCCTTCCGCAAAGGCAGCCAATTCCCTCCTAGAGGATACCTTCGCCTTCCCCTTGTCCCTATCTGGCCCCGCCAGGGTTGAAGGCGACCAACTCTCCCACCCCGGCCCCAGACAAGGACAAACCACAAATCTGCCCCACCCCCGACAGGGCAGCCACCTCCCACCTTGCAGCGCCCCTGTAGAGTAAGGCTCCCCAATACCAACCCCACCCTTCCCCCAAGAGTCCCAACCCTGACCACAGAAGCCCTATCCTGACTGAAGCACATCCATCAGATCGAATCCCTAAAATATATGGTAGAACTGGAAATTTCTAAAAATTATGATGTAGAGAGAGGTAGATGAGAGTTTTTTTTTTTTTTGAATTTGCAAATCGTGGTAAACATCATCCTGAAGATGATGATGATGACGACCAAACTCACCTGCTGATGTGAGAGACAAACAAGGCCTTGAACCGCAACACCTAATGATGACAGAATGATGGTGATGATAGTAATAACGGAATGATGATGCTGATCGTACCGAAGAACAGTACCACCAGCACCCTATGATTGCAAATTGATGATGCTGATGCTGATGATGATAATGATGATGTTGATGATGTTGATGATGTCAATGATGATGATAATGATGATGATGATGATGATGATGATGATGATGATGTTGATGATGATGATGATGATGACGACAACGCCCAGCGCCCTGTGATGACAAAAGGATGATGATGGTGCAAATGACGAACACCTTGGATAATAACCTAGTGATGATGATGATAAGGGTAAGCAACGCCCTATGACGAACAAGTTTCGCCAACAGCGCCTTATGAGGGTGAGGTATTTATGAGGGTGAGGTATTGATGATGGCAATGATATTGACGTTATGACAATGATGATGATGATGATGACGACCAACCTCAGCGGCGCCCTATAAAGACAAGATGATGATGATCACCCATACCTTGATGTTGGTGACGAGCGACACCCTTATGATGATGATGGTGATTGTTGGAAGTTTACTTCTTCATTCTGAAAGATTTTTGCATTCCGTACTGCCCAGATGGTTTCCATGACTATCCCACGGCAGCAAAGGGCTACATACTCATCTCCTGTCTCCAGATTTCCTTTTGCCACCCCAAATAGAATGAAGTCATCACCCCATGGGAATTTCTCATATTTCCTTCGACAGTGGGCAATATAGCCACAAATGGGAGGCAGTCTCCCATCCCCAGCTACACCTGACACATGTTGAGGAAAGGTTCATACCTCTTGTATTGAGCCACGTTGCCGTAGGGGTGATCTGCATGGACTGCAACCACTGTAATCCCGCCTGCCTCTGGGCAGGAATCCTCTTCAGAGCGTTCCATAATTTGAACAGGTCTTTTTCTTCCACCGGTGCGATCTGCAGGCCTGTTAGTCTTTTTTTGCCACTACACCAGGCTTTCTTGTCCTTTTGGCTTGTAGCAGTTGAACTCCCCTCTTCGTTTTGTATTGATATACGAGGATTCCCTGCGGTTGGGTGACTGAGTTCCATCCGAACAGTATAGGCTCTACCACTACACTCCTATGACTCTAAAATGCTTAATGATTTAAATAGAATCCAAAAATTCCAATCCAACCTTATCCTTATTATTAATATAAATGAATAAAATTGAATTAATCAATAAAATTCTTAACTGGCTGACGCCATATATTCCAGCTGAAAATCCCATATTGACACTGTTGTTCAACAATCTCAGAAGTACTCAAAGTATTACATAATTATAGTTGATAAAAAGATATAATTTTTATCTTCACCTCCTCTAGCTCTAGAGTAGTCATTACCATTCCTTCTCCTTCCAGAGTCAGTCTTCCCTTGACTCTGTCCATCCCCCTCATCCGTTTCTGCACCTTAATTCCCGAACCCAGATCGGGACCCAGTATTTTCTGAAGTCTATTCTCATTCTCTGAATCCTCAACCCAACTGCCCTCGTTAAACTCTTTTTCCTTATGCAGGGCATAGATCCAATGTTGCGGCATTGCTCCTTTTATTCTTGCATAGGGTGAGTCATTCGCTGCGTCCTCATCCCACACGTCCCTCAGTTGGATAATACCATGTTTTACCCAAGCCCTTCCAAAGGAGCCTGTGCTTCCATCCGCCTTCAATTCCTGACCGTTTTCCAGAATGAAACGGTTTTCAAATAATATCTGGTTCAATATTTCCCCTTTCGATCTCGGTTCTGCTATCAGTTGGGGCCGCACCCTGCTCCAGGCTCGAAGTATATTGTACCAGATTCTTGACCTTGGTCTCCTTTGGCAGTAGGATCCTATCATGAAGCATAGCCAGACGTGGGAGGTCTTCTTCAACGACCATTCTACCATTAAGATA